ACATCTATGCCAATATATTTATCCTCAAGTGCTGGAGGGAGTCTGACAAAGTAACTTGAAAGAATTTGCAGGAGTTTGCATTTGTTTAGGGACACATGAACCAATCTCTGATTCCAATTTGCTGTTGACCAGTGTACAGTAATAGCAATTGCATCAGAGAACAACTGATGTGAACGTGTTCTACAACAAAATTCGAAATGTTTCCCCACCCCAAACTCCTCTGTACTATTTTAGTTCCTCATTAAGTGATTGATCATTGTTTCAGAAATTCCCCCACCCACCAGGACAGAAGAAGAAGAAAGTGGTGAAATATGGCATGGGAGGATTCCTCATCTTTGCTCTCATCAGCATCATCTGGTTCCCACTGCTCTTCATGTCTCTCATCCAATCAGCAGCCGGTGTCACAAATCAGCCTGTTGATGTCTCCATACAGCTCAGTATTGCCGGATATGAGGTCAGGAGCAATTAAGATCCTTGCTGTTTGGCTTTCACTTTGTTATATTTCCTCAAGTAGTGGCCAGGGACATTTGTAGAGAGTACTGGGCACCAAGGAGGTGTTAATTAGTGGTAAAAAGAGATACCTATTTGAGGTGCGAAACTCATTTGTTCAAATGGATGGCACTTTAATTACAGAAAAAGGCCATGATTTGAGGAGAGGCATTTTTTTTTGCTCAAAGTATTTTTTGAACAGCATTACACGAACAGTATTTGTTGTTACTCTCAACTGATGTGAAATGACAAGCATAATTGGATTACTGGTCACAAGTGTATTATCATTGTTCACTCCCTCTGTTTGTGTGTTTGTAGCCTCTGTTCACCATGAGCGCCCAGGAGCAGAACTTGGTTTCATACTCAGAAGCAGCATTCAACCGACTCACCAAAATCTATGCAACCTACCCAGTGAGATGATCTTCTCTTCTTCAAAAAAAGCAAGCATTTCATTAAAGAAGTCTTCTTGTGATTCGCACTAACTTATATTCACTAACCAGCAATCTAAGCATTGTTATTAGATTTATGTGGTATCAACCCCTGAGGGGCCCTGATAACTGCTATACTCTTTCTTGCCCTATGATGTGATTTACAAATAAATGAACTTCCTATCCGATCCACTTGACTTCCATGCAACGTTTGAAAAAACAAAACAAAACTTTATCCTCCGAATAGCTTAATACATCAACAAAATCTGCCATTGATAAATTAAATTGTGTGAATTAAACAGGCTGAGTGGTAAGTAAAATGGATGTATTTACATTTGCAACAATTTAATGAGGTCTGCTGTGTCAAGCGTTACATACTGCAGTGTATCACACTGAGCACAATTTCTAACTAATGACTGAATGGTAATATTTATTCTCTCTCCTCAAGTCTGCTATGCAGTTCATAATGAACTATGAGGCGGAAGACATTATTGTTGCAAAGATCAAGAGTGATGCCAGCCTGCTTTGGAGCATCAGCCCTGCCAGTCGGGAGGCCATGATTGAAGAACTCAGCAACTCCCCTCATTTACACATGACGCTGCGCTGGACACTGCTCAGGTCAGGCTGACCGTTTGAATTTGTATATGTGATTCCCAACCACTGCGCTACGGCACATTAGTGTGTTGCAAGAGATCACCACTTGTGCCAGGAAAAATTATCCAATTCTATTATTGGTCTGGAAGTAATTTGTTATTTACTACATATGTTTACTTACCATAATTTGTTGAGCGATGCCAATGACATACATGGGAGCATGTTTTATCAAGCATGACAATGAGTCAGAGGTGAAAAAGAAGGACAGTACTGTATATGAGCCTTCTAGGGAGATCTGGGGGCACAACTTCCCCAGAAGAAAAGTTTGAATATTTCATATTTAAAAACATCAATGCAATGCATTTTGAGAGAAAATCAAGCAGAATTAAAGAGAGTATCAGTGTATACTAATGTATCTGTGCAATATACACACTGACATTATGCTTCATAAGAAATTAAGACTGACAACTTGTCTCATGAAATTTAGTACAGTTAATAAATAGTAATGGGTTAAGTACATGTGTCATATGACAGGGAAGTGGAGAAAATTCGCTAACGACATTAATCTGACTTGGTATTCTAAAATGTGACATTCATGTTAGCTAGCTAATCACTCTCGAAAAGTTAGCGAGCACTAAAAGTTGACGTCATTAGCTTGCGCCAACTTTCCCTGAAGCTTCCAGTCAGTGCCGTTGTCTCAGCATCATCTACACATCTTGAAAATGTTGTCGAGATTTTAGAACAAAGCACTAGCATTAATCAATGTCATGTATTTTATTATTATTATTATTATTATTATTATTATTTGTGATTTACTATTTACAATACAAGCTAGCTATCATTAACAATTTTTCCACTAGGGGCTTGTTGAGATAATTATGTTATCGCTTCTGCCGTGTTATGTTTTGTGCATCTATGACACCTTCTTCTAGTGATATGCTGTATTACTTGTAACTAGCATTACAGTTATGTCAACAGAGCTCCAGTGTAATGTAAATATACCTGAAAAAAATTGGGTTATTGAAATAATCACTGACCAAATTCCAAGTATTTAGTATTCTAACTCTAAATCAGTAAGGGGTCTTCTTTTCAGTTTCCCCCCAAAATTGATCTGCACGAGCCAACTGCTTGTGCACGTCACAAACCAATCCGGTAACAGCACTCCAATACCTTTTTGGACAAAATAAATAGTGATGTGAGATTCGGTTTTTATCGAATTCCCATAAATTGCTCGCACATGTTCGCAATTCACTGATAATCTCTGGTATACATCCCGGTCTCGTCCATACCCACCCAAAATTATTTTCTCATTGGATCCCCATGATTTGCATAGGTCACCTATTTTGGTTTCAAAACGTCGAACTTCACCAAAAGTGTACTCATTTTCATGCCTGTTTTATTATGATTACAATTCCTCAAGGGCAAATTCAACTAAGATTGTGCTGGAATTTATTTAGCTATGTCGGGCATCTTACATACTATATCCTATACTGTTTTAGAAATGCCTCCATATCAATGAATGCTGAGACAGTGGGGGAACACACGGTGAAGTTTGAGGACAAGGCCTTGAAGGAAGGAATAGTCCACATGCTCAAAGGCAACAGCAGCAAACATGTGTGAGTCACAGTCTAACGTAAGTGGATATTTTGTAAATGAAATGTAATATAACTCTTGTGCTTTTTCTCTGTCCTGATAGGATCATTAACTCTCTGCTGCCCAAGTTCCTCAGAGGTCCCAAAGGACCAGAGTCCAAAATGGCGACCAGGATGAATGTAGGTAAGTTGATGTCTTGAACAGTCTGAACACACTTTTGTTTGACAGTCAATCGGTTGGTCATGTGTATATGTAAGTTTCTAAAATTACTTAAGTTGTCATTCATCATCCTAAAAAGTTGAGATAATCAAGTTGTGTCTCAAAAGACTGCGATTTTAAAGGGACAGTGTGTGCGTTGATTTTTCACTTACACAATAGAATCAGTACAGTATACAGCAATTGATGTTGCAAACATTCTGCCTTTACAAAGACTGCTCAGTTTTAACCAGGGCATAACCAGAAGATTTTCTGTGGGGTAGCCAGGATGACACAACCACTAAGATGTACTAACCACTCCACCACAGTACTTCCCTACTGCTAACGACAATCAAAACAATAAACATATTGCTCCACGAGTACTTCTGACGGTTTGGCAACGGCAAATCCATTTATGTTCCCCCATAGGCCACACTGACCGTCCAGAACTCTTGGCTTTCTTCAAACCCCTGGCTATCAAACTGCAAAAGGTCAACCGGACTTCGCAGCGGGAAGCAGACCAGTGGTGGATAGTACAGGAGTGTACTCCAACACTTGTCTCATCTGACCAAAAGTGTGACAGTATTGAAATTGTGGTGTTTAGTGACAAAGTCAGTCCATCCAGTCTGGGCTTTTTGGCTGGACACGGGTAGGTCACCTGTTTGGAGAGGCCCCAGCATTTTGACCTGGGGGCAAAAATTCTAATCGTATGTCAAGTTAAGACAAATATATACACCTAGTAATGCTTACTTTACCTCTCACTCCATAGCATCGTGGGCCTCTACATGTCAGTGGTGTTGGTGATCGGCAAGTTCGTGAGGGAATTCTTCAACGGCATCTCGCGCTCCATCATGTTCGAGGAGCTGCCATGCGTGGACCGTGTCCTCAAGCTGTGCACGGACATCTTTGTGGTGCGCGAGACCGGAGAGATGGAGTTGGAAGAGACTCTCTTTGAGAAGCTCATCTTCCTTTACAGATCCCCTGAGACCATGATCAAGATGACCAGAGAGAGGGACAACTAGAGTGGGGAACTTTCTGCTCTTCAATGGACACACTTTTACCCCTGTTGCGGAAAACTGACAACTGTTCTGCACTCAAGTAGAAAAATAGTGGATATCTCTGTGTGTCGACTGTGGATCACAATGTGGGACTTGCACAAAGCAAGATGAAGTGCACCTGATAAAGCGTAGAAAAACGTTGCGTACGACATTTCAGGTGATTTCATCATTAACCCAGAATACGAATGACCGGACAGTCTACCAGATGCCCACTTGATTGCATGCATTTCTGATAGGGATTGAAACTAATAATCAATGACATGATGAACTACTTTTATTTTGTAGATTGTGTGCCACTAATTACACAATTGAACCAACTGAGGCAAAATGGAATGTCTTTGCATTTTCCTCCATTTAAAATATGCACACAAAACAATGTTAAAATGTCCCCATGCTCTTTTAAGGAAATGTAAGTCAAATGCCAAACCTTAATTTCCGTTAGGAATTGATTGGTATTTTTTTGAACAAAAACCGCAGGGCCTTGATTCCTGGTTTTGGATTTCCTTTGTACAAACCTTTGAACTGCAAGTCTTACACATTTAAATATATTTTCAAAGTTTAAAATGTTACCAAAATAATTTGTTCCAAGTTTTCATCAGTTGTAAAAGCATTTCAAAACAAATTAAAGAAAATACACTTTGAATGAATCTGCTTTCATATAACTTTAATTACAAATTATAGGGAAGAAATTGCCATTCTGTTGTTATCCCGTCCCTTCAAGACATCACATTGTCCTCCATTTTTTCAGACAGTTGCAAGAAGTGGTCTACGTCCCAGGAACATATCCTGCAGAGACAGAAAGGGAAATGAAATGCATGCCTGGAACAGAACATGAAATACAAATCCACAATTGTGACTACAGGTTGAGGCTACCTTGACTAGTAGTAGTTTGTATGAAATACAGAAAAAACAAGACCTCATTCTTTACTAATGCTCAATCAAATCATTTGGTCTATACATTTTTTAAACTGTCCAACCAGAAAATTTTGATTAGGCAGACTGCCCATCACAATACAGTATGGTATTTACAACAGACGCTTCATTAGGAACACATGCACAAGTTGTACCAGATCTGTGGTTAAAATAAACATCTTACAAAGGATTGCACTCCATTTTGATAAGGATGAGTATGTCAACAAAGATATCCACAGTCCTCATATAAACCAATTGCTAAATGGCTCTCTCGGGAGAGCTTTCTAACATGACGGTTAGTCTCTTTTATGTTCCCCCAAATTTACTGAGTCAAGAAAGAAAATCAGTCTGTACCATGATAATGAGCCATCAACCATATGATAACATGACAAATTATGTATTAACATTTTAGAGAAGTGATTCTGCCGTGCCGTGAGATTTTTCTTCAATTCAGGGTGGGAAACTATGGCACCCCTAAGATGACATGGAAGAAAAAAAAAAAAAGATTGCGTTCCCTCACGAGAAAACGCATTTTTAAAGATGGGCGTTCATGTACTTCCAGGTTAGTTAGATGACTGTTGGCTACGATTCACATCTGTCGGAGAAACGGCAGTACGTCGTAGACAGATTTATGGAGGAGACTTCTTTCATTTAAATTCACTCAAAGTAAAATAAAATCGGTTTACCCAGTAGATTGCCCGGAAGTTAATGAAAGCTCATTCTAAAAAAAATCCGTTTCTTTTGCGTTATCTCGCTGTGATTGCGAGGGTACGCAAAGGTTGTTTCCCATCCATGTCCCCTTCGGGGCTCCGTAGGAATAATTGATACATAAAAATACAGTACATGACATAGGTACGAAGAGCGAATGCTACACGTATTCAAATGTTAACTTACATGCTGTTTTGGGCTTGACTACTTTGACGCTGGCTTCGGCCGCCTTCATCGCTTCGCTTTTCACTTGCGGCTTGAGGGCGGCTCGCACCGCATTGGCGCAGATTGTCGAGAAGCGAATGTAGCTGCACAGAGGACAAACAGACACAGCCGGTCAGCGGCACGCTAAAGGTCAAGCTACGCACAAAAACAAGCCATGCCAATGTGTGGTAGTGTCTCTTAACTCATGAGCACAGTATTGTTTGAATAGCCGACATAAGAAACAAAAAAAGCCAGAACACGTAATGTGTGGGCACGCTGACTTCAACAGCATTAGCATGGCGACTAACTAGCAGAGCTCCATCAAAAGATGAAGACTAAGACATTACGGTACAACTATTCATGCATACGTTAATCGTTGAAGACAAATAAATAGGTGAGTCATCAATGCCAATGTTGTTTTTGTTATATTTTTTTACCTGAGTCCCGCTTGTCTCCAGTATGCAACCATCTTGGCAATCTTGTGTAGCCTCGGCGTCAAGGGCAGGTCCGTCGCGTGCGTGATGACGTCATTAAAACTGAGCTGCGAACGATTGAAATCTTTTCGCCCCGCCCTCTTGACTGTGAGCACGAATTTATATATGAATTCATCCATGCATCCATTACCAAACCCATACACACATATATATCATATATCAACGAGGAAGCGTGTGACACTGAGGACAGTCCCGCCTAATGGCAATTAGGGTGAAATAGATCTACAGTATTTATCTTCTACAATCTACACCGTTTACCCTGAACAGAGTTGCAGGGTGCGTGGGGTGCTGGAGCCAATCCCAGCTGATTTAGGGCAGAAGGCAGACTAGACCCTTAACTGGTCGCCAGTCAGTCCCAGGGCACATATCGAGACAATCAAAGTAACGTAATCAGAAAAATCCGCACAAAAATCCGTTGGGAACATTTGCATTACCATAGCTACGATGGTTAAAAAAGTGGATGAGGTGGATAAAAATGGCCGGCATATAGCCCAGCTGGTAAATAAAATTTTAGTATTAGAATAACTTGCAACTTTCTATTCCAATAATACGGTCGGTCAATACTGTAATTAAAACCAAATACAGTAGTACACTGTAAAATACTGTAAACTGAAGTTGTCCCAGTGTCAACCGCAAGAGAGAGTCAGTGAGTTGAGGCCACAATATTAGGTTTGTCCCTTCCGACCTTCCGTCCTTTCTCCTTCCTGTCTGCGGTCACGCTGTCTTTTTGCCGGCCCGGTTCCCGAGGTCTGACAGACAAACCTGCCGACAAAAATGAAGATCTGGGCGTCAGAACACATTTTCAAGTGAGTGCTTTTTGTCTCGCCACATTTGCCGCGCGCTCAGCCACATATTCACACCCCTATCGACAATCGTTTATTTCGCCGCTTCCTTATAACCGGAAGGCTAGCCACTTTAGCTAAGTCGGGCAACTTGAGTTGAAGAAAGCATTGGTAAAAGTTTCCCAAGTCGTTGTTTGGTGTTGTTACGACAGAGGCCGTAGCTCATCTTGGCGTCACAACCAGTCGGTTTGTAGCTTATAATACGAAGGCTCGAGCAGGGAAGCCTCCGGAGTGAAACGCTAAGTAAGTGCGTCAACTCTTTGTTAGCTTTGCGCTTCAAGCATTTTAGCTATCCAGAATTCCGCTTTCCACACATCGGATATTAGTCTGGAAAAATGCAGCCGTTAATGTTTTTTTAAATGATCAAATGTGATAATTTACTAAACTAGAATCTGACATAACCACTATTACATAACAGTCTGCTTGGCGAGACGTAATAGCAGGGGGCGTTTACCCTTGTAAACAGCTGACAGAAACACATTGTACTCTACTGTAATAGTGACCGATAACGATAAATACTCCTCCTTCCCATCCACACATTAAAGGTATGCTTTGCTCTTTAGCTAGACTCTAATCCTTTAATTGCCAATACAAACACTTAAGCATTTTCAGTTTCTTCTGGGCATTACACGAACAGTTAAAAAACATGAAATGTTCAGATGTCACTTGATGGTCAAAATACGACCATAATAATAACAAAATCAGGAAGTTGTTCTTTTTTTTAAGAACTACTCTGCTCAAAGGTTTGGGGACATTGGAGGATGTTTTTTTTTTTTTTTTTGCTATGTTTTAAAAGCATGAGGATATTGCTGAAAATGTGAAAAGTAAATTTTCCATCATTTCAAAGTTGACATAATGTGCCACGTGATTTACCAGCCACCCATGGGAGACGGTGACCAAGGCAGCAATGCAGAAGTACCCCAACCCCATGAACCCTAGTGTGTTTGGTGTGGATGTTCTGGACAGACATGTGGACACGGAGGGGCGCTTACACAGTAAAAGACTGCTCAGCACAGAATGGGGTCTTCCCGCCATCGCCAAATCTGTAAGTGCACATTTTCATTAAAAAAAAAAGGACTTGAAACATAATAGGAATATTTTCTGACATGTCTTTTTCCCTGTAGATCATTGGCTTAACAAGAACGTGCACTTATGTCCAAGAACATTCAGTAGTGGACCCCAAACAGAAGATCTTTGAGCTCAAATCTACAAATGTGAGTGGCCACTTACATACTTGTGCATCTTAATACGGTCCAAGGGTTCATTCAGTTGTTCAATCCAAAAGGGAAACTCGTATAGATGCATTATACAATACCCATGAGAAAATACTCATAAGGCCTATTTGAGTTGAATAGAATGACTCAAATGTAATGATATTCAAATTTATTGAGACACACCTGCCCGTTGACATAAAAGGTGAATTTAGGATATCTTATCAGTGACCTACAAGCCACTGATAATTTTGACTTGAGACAGATACTTCAACAGTTGTTTTTTTAATGTCTTCAGATCTCCTTCACGAACCTGGTGTCTGTAGATGAGAAGTTGACGTATAAGCCTCATCCGCAGCATCCTGACAAGTACGTTTTATTCCTCTGTCCTGACCGTGAATACTTGCCAATGCACATTCGGACTCAATTTTTGATACTAACAAAATGAATGAAGGCTCAGCTCTATGCAAATACCTCTGCAAATTACAGTCCCCTTGACTTGTGGTGATGATATTGATCATTGATTCTTGGGGTATCATGTCATTATTTTCCAAAAAAGAAGTGATGTTGCAGTAAAACATGATTGGGAAGTGTACAATAGTCATGTTGTGAAGCTGCAAATAGATTACAGTCAGGGTCCCCTAAAGTTGGCATGTCAACTGTCACATGTTGACATGCTCATATTTCACTACAGGGGATCACAGTGCTGGGCGACATGGTCTTGAACCCGCCCCCAACCCCAATTAAAACTCAGATTTCCAATTTTAACCGATTGCAACCTCTGCAGGAGCCTGATAATGATTGTGCTCATTTGAATCAAGTGTGTTGGAGGAGGATAACATCTTAAAAAATTAGTAGTGGGCGGCCTGGGTCCTCTCCTCTAAACTCTACACTTGAGCCCACTCCACAGATTTTCAGTAGGGTTAAGGTCTGGGGACCAAGATGGCTATAGGAGGGGCTTGATTTGGTGTCTGGTAAACCATGTCTCCAATTTTCAGTCTGAGAATGTGTGTGCAGTAAAAATTGAATTCATTTTAAGGCTTTTCACACATCTTAACCAGCCGTGCCAGTAATTCTGGAGGGCTCCATATATCGGGTCAAAATATTCCAACACGTCGATTTCTTGTGAGATGGTGGTTTAAACTCACAAAATTGCCTGTGGTTACATTTGAATAAATTTTTATCCATAATAAAATGTCCAATGATACGGCGTGGTTTAATAAGCACCGAACGTGTTCTCTCCGTTGTTGAGCAGGACGGTGCTGACGCAGGAGGCTCTGATCAGTGTGAAAGGTGTCAGTTTGAGTAGCTACCTCGAGGGCCTTATGGCCAAAACCATGTCTGTCAACGCCGGCAAGGTGAGGATGACCCGTAACTTTCCTTATCCCCTCTCTCTCACCTTATCTCGTTTTCCTAACCCTTTGTCCCGTTTGGCGGTTTCAGGGCCGCGAGGCAATGGAATGGGTCATCCGGCGGTTAAACACGGAAATCGAGGAGCTGGCAGCGACAGCTCGTGGCAGCATACGTGTGCCCATGGCGGCGGCTGTCGCGGACAAATGATCGCGGGCCTCCGCCCATCATGAAGTGACCCGCCTCTCTGATTGGCGGCGCACCTCATCAGCCAGTACAGCCTAATTACCACAGCCTTTCCGAGCCACTTTTGCGCGCGTGTGGGTGAGTTTGAGAATGAGTGTGTGCACTGTTTGTATGCGAGCGTGTGGAAAATTGTGAGGAATTGTGTGTGCCTGAGAATGCAAGCCGACGAGGCCGACGAGGCGCAAGTAACGGTGGTTCTTGTGATTTATTTTAGTCACATTGTGCCACAAGCTCACTCCTTCAGTACCTCTCATCCCCTTTTTAACGAACGTCATGAAAGCACTGTCAACAGCTCTTATCTTTAAATGCCTCTCTGTGTGGTTGGAGCGGCTGTTTCAGAACATTTGGGACTTTAGTAGAAGTATTCCTTCCGTCTGGATAACCGGATTCCTCGTCTTCTTTTATTCCGCGGTGCCATTCACTCATGTGTTAGAGCTGATTTTTCAGTTTGAGTTCACGTGGCATATGAAGGATTGAAAGGTGGCTGAGCGAACCTCGAGTCTTTACGTTCATGTTCACATACCGCCATCCAGGTTGTGCTTTTGTTTCTAGCTTCACCATGCAGAGCTTCAAGTGACAATGGTTCGCTACAACATGAGGTACATTTCGTTGTGCAGGTATTCCTATTGTCGGGGCCAGTTGGGGGAGCTAACATGCTTTAGTCTATGTTGCAAGTATTCCGAGATGGTCTCAATCTACAAAACAGCAGCTTTTTTTTCTTTCCCTTTCCAAAGGAGCCTCAAGTTTTTATATTTCTTATGAAGATCTGTGTCCTGCTCAGCCATCCATTCATGCAGTGAAGCTCCTTTAACGAACTCCGATGCTTTTCTTACAGGGAACGTTTTAAGAACAAACGGCTGTAAATAGGGTTATATTTATATTACGGTGATGTTACATTCCAAGAATGTGAACATGTAGCTTAAAAAAAAGAAAACAAGCACACTGACTTTGTTTCAAAATAAAAGAATGCCATTGTTTCATGATGATGGCGGTGGAATTGACTGGCTTGTACTTTCTTTAATGTGTAACCTGTTGATGACGTTGTTTACTAGCCCTTCTTAAGTAGATCTTAACATAAATGAGTACATCCCCTTAAGGTAAATTTGTAAGCCTATACCTGTGACTTTAATGTTTTATGGTTATTTTGTCAAAGGCTTGATGAAACTTAACTTGCCCACAAGGGACAACAGTGTTCTTATTTGTGCTTTTATTAGAATGAATACATTTAGGTATCATGTGGGATACATTGCAAGAAAAAAAAAGCATTTTATTTAAAAAGCACCTTTCAACGCAACCAGGAACACTAAAATCAACGTAATACATTGCAAACAAACAAAAAAAAGCATTGTAGTCATCTATAGCCATGTTGTTTGTAGTTGTTGAATTGATTGTGGTATTTGTGATGCAAATGCGAAAGCAATTTTCAGCAGCCTCAACATTTTGTGGATTTATGAAACAGAAAAAAACATTTGAAAGAAGCACAAATGTGAGAATATGATCCACGTGAATACTGCGTTGTGATTTTTCACATGGTCACAACGGGCCAGGATTGTACTCAGTTGAAAATTGTGTCCTCCAGCAGCATGGCGTCGGAATTGAAAGCTACAAATCCCTGTTTGAAGGAGCAAAGAGACAAAAATCAGTCCAAAGACAATTATCTCCATTCACTTTTGGTACCTACCTCTTCTACTGTCAGAACTGGGTTGACCAGCTGTGCGTGTTTTGTATGAGGTAACGCAAAGCCTGTGGCAAGTTTCTCTGGAACACAAATGCAAAAATGGTTCCAAGAACAAAAGCGCACGGTTCATTCCGGTCTTTAATCTGGCTCACTGAACATTGACATAAACGAGAGTCCTGCAATATTTGTTGGTGTAAACTTGGCGCTCCTCAGTGAATTTGGGAAAATATCAAAACTCACCATTCAGTTGTGGCAGGATGGTCCTCTCTATTAGCGTCTGTGTCATGTTTTCCAAAGCATCAGTCTGCAAAGGGCGCAAGAGTCATGAGGTAGCTATTACGCCGGATGATTTGCCTGGTGGAGCAGTACCTTAAACGGTCCAATCTCAGTTGCTTCCAGACTCAGAGTGAAACTGGAAAAGTGGCGGCTTCATTACGTTATTGAGCATGACTTTGACTTTTGAAATCTGAAGGGCATTGCTGCACTCACTTGTCCATTGTCACCGAGCCCTTCAGCCGTCCATCAGCCACCCACACTTTGCCAGTGAAGCCTGAGTCCTAAAAGAAATATGCTTCAGTGTCCCACAAGATATATTTTTTCGAACATCTGCTCATTGCATTTTGCGTGCACCACAGTGAAAAGAAATGATTATGGAGAGATGAACTTGTTTCATCATTCATTTTGAACCTCCCAACCAAAAACAAAAAAAAAAGAAATCATGACAACACTTCATCATTTACTGTAGGTTAACTGGTTTGTTGCATTTATCAATTAAACTACCGGTTGGGTTGAGTTTGCTTTTCTCCATAGGAATGCATTTTAGAAAAAGATTTTGTATGGAATCATATTTTTGAATCCACTGACATCCTTTTGAAATATGAATATCGAAACAACTACATGTCACGGGGAAATAAAATTAAACCGGCTCAATGTTGAGAAAAAGAAGGACTTATTTATAGACATTCCAACAACATAGTCAAAAGGATTTTATTACTAATTTCATAGGAAATAGGGTGCAAAAAAAAAACCGAACTGGCAAGAAACAACCACTGCCGGGGGGGGGGCATCCTGTAAAGTAGAATTTACTGTGTGCTTCAAATGGGAGTGTTGTATATGGCTATTATGGAGAAATGCAGAGAAAGGTCAAAAACTGAGGCAAGCCCGACTATTAGGGATGGCTGCTTTGTAACTGGAACCCTGAGTCCTAATAGATGACCTTTTTGTGTTCTAGAGATGGGAAGTTTCACAGGCGGATTTTATTAAAACACCAAGAGGAGGACTTTTATACCGGTAAATGCAACAAAGAAACGAGCGCTCACCACATGGAGTTTAAACAGCGGGGTCAGAGTGGCATTGCGTTGAATGGCGAAGGCCTTGACCGCACCCGATGAGCTCAGCACGACAGCACCGGAGCGGAACGAAAACACGGGAAAGTTTGTGGCGTAAATCTGCAGTGTCATCAGCAAATCTGGAAACATCTTGGGAAGCTGCAGAAGAATCATTTTCAGGTTAAAATGCATACCTGTAGCAGGACCGTGCTTGGAAATATGCTTGAGTTTGACATGATGTGGTAGGTTGTTGATGAGAACAGCCAATTGACATTTTCTTACCCAGATGTCAAAGTTGTTTGTGAGAATTTAACCAACAAGTTAGTATTTTGTCCGGCCATTCCATCTATTTAATGGCTAGCAATGAATAGATGTAATGTAATGGGCTGAGAAACATATTTTACTTTGATAAGACTCTAAACAGACTTTCCAAAAAAAGCACGTGCAAAAATGCAGTTTGGGTATCAAGGGCTAGGCACCCATCCCATCTCCCCCCACCCCCTCTGCACGTCCCTTCTGCAGAGTGCAATTCAAGTGTGTAATTTTAAAGCGACCAAATTACCTGTGGAATAAAGGGACCCAGTGAGGTTGTGTTTAGGCGTACGGGGGAGCTTGGGGGTATCTGAGGAGAGAAAGCAAAGTTATTTTTTGAATATGAAATATTCTGAAGAAAAGAAAAAAACAATTATTGTTGCTCCTGAAGCAGTGCATTGTTGGATGATGTCTTTGAAACAAACTCGAATGATCACTTTTGTCTTTCAGGTGAACTCACCATGCTGTCATTGATGAAAGCCTGCAGTAAATCAGCTGAGAAGTAGCTGAAGGAGGCTGAGTTGACGGTGAAGTCAGACAAGCCTACTGACAGCATGTAAGCTGGCTGTTCAGGTGTGGCGAAAGGCATGGCCACAAATGGGGGTTCCTTCGGACATTTGACACTGTAGAATTGTCCCTTTAAATACATGTCAAACACAGGTAAAAAATAGTCATCATTTGATTATTAGTATAATAATACATTATTGTTTTAATATTCGCCGAGGCACAGTCATTAACTGTTTAAATCAGGGGTATCAAACATACGGCACACGGGCCGGAACCCCAAGGAGGTTCGATCAGGCCCACAGGATCATTTAAAAGTGAAAAAAAATGCATAAAAGACACGGAATGAATAGTTTTAATAAGGTGCAATTCATAAAGTATCCGCTAGGCAACACACTGTTTTCATCAGGGTAGAAGACAACATTGTTTTGATCAGAGAGGAAGACAACACAGTCTCAGTCTGTCACCGAGACAGACCCAACACAGCAGACGGTATCAAGGACGTGTGAATACTTTATTCTGGCACATTTAATAGCACTCTCCTTAGTTTGTAAGGTGTAGGCAGGAATTAAATTTAGATTTTAAATGCACATGTGTAAATGGTTTAAAAATTACTTTCTTTATAAATCTTATTGAATCTTAGTGCATTACTACATTTTTCAATACCAATTACTTGTTAGTTCTGTGCCTTCGTACAATCAATGGGATCAGTTGCAATGCATATATGTGAATGATAAAAGTAAATTGCACATTTGTCGAAGGAAATCTAAGGTGTTTCATGAGATGTTTTGTAGAAGATATATGTTCATTAAATTTCAACATTTTCCTAATGTTCTTGTGCTTCTTTAGACCAAAACAAAGTAAAGACATGATATTTTGGTTATTTATAGCATAGAATGGTAGAATATAATGGTCCGGTCCACTAGACATCTACCGAGGCCGTATGTGGCCCACAATGTGAAATGAGTGAATGAGTTTGACACTCCTGGTTTAAATCATTTATCGTATTTTTTAAGGCAATTGACCAACTATAACACTAAAAATATGAAAGAACTTTTACGTATGTTTCCTGACCTTGAGCCCCAGTTGAAGGCTCGAAGCGCTGACAACAGGCGGGCCAATGAGAGGCAGATCCAAAGTGAGGTCTTGATTCACCTGAAAGTTAACTTCAACGAGAGTTTTAATCATTCAAATTGTTCGTTTTTACTTTAAAAACCTGGAGTTTATGTTCCCTTTTTTTGTATTTAGGGAAAAGAAGTCAAACCTCTTTTTCAGTAAATATCACCGAACATGCTGCAATACCTCTCATGTCCTTTAAGTGGCTCTCCAGGTTCGCAATGAGTTCATCCACCGCAGGGCAAATCTGGGAAGATTAGACGAGTGATTCCCAATCCGTGTAACGCAGGGAATGATTCATTTTCACTTAATTGGTCCGAAAACAATTTATTTACGACAAATAATAATAAAATGTGTTCATCCGTCTTTATGACAGCGACATGTAAAGACAGGCACAACAATGAAATGGTTTTCCACTGGAAAGCTATTAAGTCGTGTTTCCACTTTCAGTGATATTTTTATCAGGTGGTTTCCGTGATAATTTTTCAAATGTAAAATATGTACATGCCTCGTTTTAATAAATGTTGGTTTAGGCGACACTCAGCAGAGAAATGCTTACCATGTTCTCTATTTGACCTCTGAGATTTTTCTTGAAGTGGCCCTCAACAAGGCAGAGCAGCCAGCTGTAGACATGCGAGACTGCAGCTTCTTCACATTTCACTCCAAACGTGAAATAAGATTCATGTGATCTGAGTGTAGTACCTTCTGTTGCCATAGAAATGTGTATTTAAGTCGCCCAACTGAGCGTTGCAATTTACGCTGGTTAAAGACAGACGTCCACCGGCATCCCTCCCGAGTTGCACTATGGAGACCACGTCCACTCCAAACAAGGCCATGTCAAAAGATCCACCTCCGTGTCTGAAAGTGCATAAGCAATCCTAATACTGGCCTACTATCAAACATGGAGAACATATGGGACAGCGGGACTTGAATCTGTGCAACATCACCAAGTATTGAGGCACTCTGGAGCCAAATGTACTGCCTGTTATCTTCTCTATCTATCTATCTATCTATCTATCTATCTATCTATCTATCTATCTATCTATCTATCTATCTATCTATCTATCTATCTATCTATCTATCTATCTATCTATCTTGAGAAAGAGAGAGAGAGAAGGAGCTGAAACATGCAGCCTGCAGAAAGGGCTCTTTAAACCTGAGACAAGGAGAGGGTTAAAATACCACAGGTGCGCAAGTCTCATTGAGATTTACAGAAAGTGTTAAGATAGGGTGGTGAGGGGGGCAGCTGATGTGTATTGCCGATTAGGATGTTTATGACAAAAAAAAATAAAATTAAAAATCAATCTGTCTGTGCAACCTGGTAATAAATTGACTGTGGACCAGTGGTTAATAATGGAATAAATGAATCCTCCCACTCACACGAACCCACAGTGGGCCTCCCAGCTTCCCGTGAGGGCAACATTGAGGCCTTCAATGGACGTCTTCAAGCCGGAGAAGCCTTGGTAGAACTCTACGGATGGTTCCGGAAAGTCAGACTTTATTATAGTGATGCTAGAAGAGGCAGAGAGACACAGGGCTAGTATCTATCCACAAATACAGTACATGCATTAAATATTTTACTGTGTAGTGTATATTTTTATGATCAATAATTTACTTTTGTAAATGTAAAATGTAGTTTCAGTTAGTTTTCTTTTTTTCGAAGCACTCTCTTTTTTTTATGTCATTCATGAAAATGTTTGTTTTGTTATTGTGTTAGTTTTTGTTCACTTGAGTGAATTAACCCTGGTCAACATTGACAATCCAATACTGGAAATATATTATTTTATTATTTATTCATGTATTAAAAATAAGCAGGTATTATTAATTTATAATATTGTATTCAATGATATTTGACGATACATGTATGATAAGGATGTTTTAATAAAACAAAAATAAGTTCTGCACCAAGAGTAGCACAATGCATTTTTTGATCCAAACTCCTCGTAATATGTCATCTTACCCAGTAAGCTTGTAGCCTATGTGCAACAGGAAGCCGACACGTATTTCACCACTAATGTCAGGCAGGGTGACGTGATCCAACTTCTCCTGAATCCACCCTGCAGCCACATGCCTACCTAGGAGAGAGAGAACATGCACAACAGTTTCACAAAATCTTGGGATGCAACCGAGAAATCTGTCTACAAATCTACCTGATGTGTTCAATCGGTTACTAAATCGGTTATAGCACCACAACATTGGTGCTACATAGCAATAAACTGTCAGGCTATCCATTATGTGGTTGTTTTACAAGGTAAATACACGAAGTTTAATTCTCTTTGTTTGATGTTTAGTTTGACAATCAACTTCACCTGGGAATAGCAATAAAGAACTTGAAGTCTTTGATGAATTGTTAACTAGTTTCCAAGCGGAAGCTTATTTGTCACGTGATTTGAATTGAGTTCACGGCAACCATACAGTGCTCGTATCTCAAGCCTGCACTTGCAAGTCAAAGCAAAAGATCGTCAGAGGGCCTGCTCATATCTCAGAGAAATTGAAAAGTCGAGTCACTTGTATTTCAGACATTGGAGGCAAGTAGACAGACGTTAGCTATCATTTGAAAGTATCTCTGTCAATTTGCCATAATATGTCACCCTTAAAATTTGAGATTGAATTGCATTACCAACAGTATCTTACCAGACTGAAGTCCTTTGTTGGTCAGGATGACTTGTATTGCAGGATTTTTGCCGCAGTCGCAAGAGATAAATGCGAGTGCTATTAGCACACATGCAAGCATTTTGTATCAGGTCAGGAATGTGAGAGTCACAACAAACAGACAGCGGATTTGGGTGCACTCGTTTTTAAGGCGTGGACTGGGTAGTAACGGTTGTTCGTTTGAAGATCAGCTGACAGAAGACGTTGTGGCGCTTCCTGTATGAGTTAGAACTGAGAAGTGAAACTTAATATAACATATGACTGCACATTTATGTGGGTGGCCATGACAAAACACGCGCTAAATAGAAGAGGAACTTTGGGTCCGACTGCTAACTTTCTAATTCTTCATCAAATTAACAGTTTCTTGCATTACATGTATATAGGCCTCCAATATGGACAGTTTTTTATTTTAATTTCAATAAAAACATCCAATTAGACTTGTACCAAGACCCTGGATCATTTCTTATTGGGTCCCCAAGTCAAATTATGTAGTGGGGGGGGGAAGGTAGGAACCCATTTTTTATGGCTTATAAATTCAGCCCTGGGCGCCCCGGTGGTCCAGTGGTTAGCACATAGAACTCACAGTGTGGAGGTACCGGGTTCAATTCCAGCTCCGGCCTCCCTGTATGGAGTTTGCATGTTCTCCCCGGGCCTGTGTGGGTTTTCTCTGGGTACTCCAATTTCCTCCCACATTCCAGAAACATGCGTGGCAGGCTGATTGAACACTCTAAATTGTCCCTAGGTGTGAGTGTGAGCGTGGATGGTTGTTTGTCTCGATGTGCCCTGCGATTGGCTGGGAACCGGTTCAGGGTGTCCCCCGCCTACTGCCCGAAGACGGCTGGGATAGGCTCCAGCACCCGCCGCGACCCTTGTGAGGATAAGCTGTTTGGAAAATGGAATTCAGCCCCACCAATAAAAACAAACAAAAAAAAAAAAAAAACAGGATGCCATCACAGTCCAAAGATGACTTCCGGCCCACTATTTGAAAGCAAACAGAATCACCAGCCATAAAATATTCCATTTATTTATCTCTTGATTCAACAAATACTCTTTGTCTCACACACCATGATTAGTTGCATTAAATCACAAACAACAGGTTCAACGGGGAGAGAATATCGTCCGACAAATACTTTGCATACGACACGAGAAGGACCCACTTGCTTGCACGTTAAAATTCACTCCATCCAGAAAAACGTTGGAAACACCGAGAAAACAAACAAACCGACGAGCTCTACTGAGGTGGAAAAAATAAAAGCACAAAACAAACTGACAAAAGAGAAGTATTATTCAAACTACACAGAAGATATTCAGTTGTTTGTTTGTTTTTTTTAATGTGCACCACCTTGACTGAAGGATGCTTGCCCATTTCTACCACACAGTTCAGTTCAGTTCAGTCTTTTGAGTGCTCCTCTTGCCAGAAGTTGTTAAAGGGTACCAAAATATTTGGCACAATACCACTTCTACCACCGTGGAATGGTACTATCAGGTGGCGCTAGAAATATTGTAATGTGTGATCCATTAAATTTGAAGATGACATTCACCATCACCATATGGAATTCTGCTTGGCTGCCTTGCGATGATGTCACACTGTTTAGGTAGCTGAGACTATCACCAGCCACCACCGTTAGGCCCCCGAAGTGGAAACAAAATCCAGATCAGGATTTATCTTTCAGCATGAGGTGAAGCGTACTGGACTAGAATTTTAGTGGAAAGATTTGGCCATTGTCCACACGAATACAGCTGTCAAAACACACACATACACACACACACACACACACACACACACACACACAAACACACTCACTCACAGTAAAGGCTTTTTTCGTGCCCTCATGCAAATTCTGGCCATGGTGGAGATATTTCAGAATACAGTTTGTATCACTTGCATAGAGATAAATAATACCTCATGACTGTGCAATGTTATTAAAAAAAAAAAAAATCAAAAAACTATCCCTATAGGTTCATTTAAAGGGAAAGTAAAAAAATAATAAAATCTTTATAATACTATATTCTACGAGTCCCAACGAGTCTAAACACAGTATTCAGATTTATATTGCGTTTGTCAAATATGAATTAAGCAGCAAATCCACTTGTTTTTAGTCATTTCAGGGGGCGGCCATTTTGACACTTGCTGTCAACATGAAAATGACATCACAGTCCCTCAGGACTTGGGTCACGATCGATAACGGCTCAGCTTGCGAATGTCACATGACCAAATTCAGAAAACAAGTGAGTCATGATTGGTCGACAAGCCCTTCGGCCCTGTGATGTCATTTTCAGTCGACAGCAAGTGGCAAAATGGCTGGCCTCCGAGACAGATAAAAACGGGTGGGTTTTGTTGCACAATTCATATTCCACAATGGCAATATCAATCCCCATTCCGCATTGCAGACAAAATCGGTTTACGTTGTCTTAAACTGTGGCTTCACTGTATTTGTCAATAAACTCAAAACCCAGCCCAAATAATACTACACACACACACACACACACACACACACACACACACACACTTAATTTGGGCCATGTTTCCCTGCTTTTCAGAACTTTGGACACACCTGTCAGGAAGTTGTGTCCTTCCGTCCATTTTACCATAGGAGCCTATTTTACACCATGATTGTACAGTTTGTTATTGCACGTTTTCACAAAGGCAAAATTAAAAAAAATTCACACACAAGATCCTCCTAGTGGGCTTCTTTGTCATCATGACCCACAAAGTGGGGAGCAGAGCGGGAGGAGGAGGCGGGTAGGGAAGGGGGTGGGGCATAAAAGGTCGGCTGCCGCAAAGCTCTCAGTCATGGATATTGTACTTGAATGCCTCTATGAGCCCTTCGATGGAGTGGATGAAGCCCGATATGGCGCAAATGCCCCCGATGACGAAAATGGAGACATCGAAGAAGACGTGGTGCCACAGGAGGTTCCTCCACTGGAGCTTCAGATGGAAGAGGCTGGGCAGTAGGAAGCACAGGCCGGCGCCCGTCAGGCTGCCGGTCAGACCCATGAGGAGGGCGAAATGGGGGACGAAGACGGCCATGAGCAAAGTGAAGACCACCAGGCCCACCCTGAGGCCCAGACCCCACGATTTTAACTGGCCGCTTGGCCCGTAGCAGTCCGGGAACAAGGCCCGTCCGCCGTCTTGGAACAGCGACTTCTCCAGGACCTCGACAGCGGCGAAGAAAGGCAGCGGGTAGGAGAGCAGCGCCTTGGCCACAAGGAAGAGGTTGACCACCGCGCGGATGGCGCTGGGCAGGTTATCCGTGATGACCTCCTTGGTGGCGTCGGCCCACGTCAGGTAAGCCACCAGGGCAAAGAGGCCCTTGAGGACGCAGGCAGCGATGTGGGTCCAGTCCATCATGCAGTGGAACTCGCTGGGCTTCTGCATGTTGCCCTCCAGGGAGGGGAGGAAGATCTGCGAGGTGTAGCTGAACACGATGATGCCGATGGAGATGGGGAACTTCTTGACATCGATGTAGAACTTAACCTTCTCCCACGCCCACTCCCGAGCCCGCGAAAGGCAGTAGGCGATCACCAGGACGTTGATGACGAAGTGGGCCAGCGTGCACAGGAGGCTGAACTTGGACACGGCCTTCAGGTTCTTGAGGAAGGCGCAGGGGAGCAAGGCTGCGGTGGCCACCACCGACCACGCCTTCTGTGAGACGGGCAGCCCCGGGAAGCTGTTGTACATCAAGTTGCCACTCACCACCACGTACAGGATGCACGTCATCACCAGCTCGATGATCTGAGCTACGTTGACCACGTGGCCGCCCAGCGCTGGGAAACGGGGCGCGCAGCACGCGTTGGCCACGTCAACGTAGGAGTCGCGCACGCGCACCTTGATGCCGTCCTCGTTCTCCTCGTAGAGACACGCGATGAGGATCTTGCCCGTGTAGCAGCACACCACGGCGGCGAAGATGATGAGGAAGAGGCCCAGGTAGCCGCCGTGCAGGATGGCGTAGGGCAGGCCGAGGACGAACATGCCCTGCGGACGAAACGAGCGCGGCAGGGCGGTCACGGACCGTGCGTGCAAGCAGCTCCACACACACTTTACGTAATCTCAGTGTTCCACAGTAGGGCAAAGACGAGAGGAAGCATTTGAATTGCAAGTAGCTACAATCAAACCGAGGAAAAATCCAGTTACGACGATTTCCATTTCTTCTCTTTTTTTATTTATTTTTACGATGAACCTCTTCAACGGACTATATTTTGTTTGTTCTTAAATTGATTCATTCATTGTGTTCTTGCTGGCTCTGTGACAAAAGGGGCCCTTTGGGATGTTAAACATTACCTTGAATTCACTGATAAAAGGATTTACATAATTAGCCTATACGCTTAACCTCCTTGCCAAGATTGGCGATTTCATTCCCGACGCTTACATTTACGACTGTGTTCCATAATAATAAAAATAAAATAATAGTCACAATAATAATAATAATAATAATAATTAAAATAATAATAATAATAATAATGAACGCTTTGGTGAATTTCCGAGGAGTATAAAACACATTTTGAAACGTGTTTTTATGTGTTTAAATAATGTGCTGTTAGCAGGTTTTTTCATCGTTATCTATACTAGAACGCCACTATTTCTTGACTATTTTATGTGTTAAGATACTTATATGTTGTTTTTCATTATTTTATTATTCGTTTTTGCTGATTGGCTCAGAGAAATCACGCATCTTTACTGTGATTGAACGCCCACTCATCACACCAAATATGGTAATCGCTTGAAAATAAATGCAATCGGATTCATTTATGGTTGCTTCCGAAGCAAGCAATTCATTACGCGGGTTCAGAATGGCATATTTAACCGTAAGTGTGAAATGTCTTCAAGGTGACTCCTGAAGGCACAGCCTGGCGGGGCCCCCTCGTTCACAAGGACACCGCGTACCTGAATGGCGTTGGTGACGTTCCACCCAGCCTCCCAAGACGTGATTTTGGGTTTGTCCTCAACCAGTGATCCCTCGGTTTTAAGGGCCTGGGGCCTGTGGCCGGTACCGTCCCTCTGGTAATGAGTGTCCCCATCCTCCAGGCCGCATTCTCCACCCTCTTCGTCCCCCTGGATGACGTCCATTTGCATTCCTTGCCTGTAGTCGTAGTCCAGGTCGTCGCATTCGGCAAATCCCAAACCCTCCTCGTCCGTGGCGGCCTGGAAGCCGAGGCGGGCGAACACGCCGCTGACCTTGGCCTGGGACTTGTTGGAGACCGTGTGGGCCGCGTTGGTCAGCTTGTTGGTCAATTTGTGGCGGATCAGGTGAGCCATCTTTGCTCGAAAGATTTAATCCAGAAAACAAAAAGGGCCTCGGTGGAGAAGAAAGAGCGAAATGATGGATTATTAGCCTCTGTTGCGGGGGTTCAGTGCTGCGGATGCTGCAAAGTCATGCCTGTTGTCCTCAAGTCCCAAAACCGACACGCACTCAAAAATCCTTAGCCTCTACTCTGGGTTCGCTCTCCATTGTCCAAACCCCACCTTAAAATCTTTTGTAGTGAAAAAAAAATCCAAATTGAAAGATGTCTTCATTTGTCCCCCCAAAAAATCATTCAGTGGAATAATCAAATATATATTTAATAGCTTGTTGGTGCAGCGCTATGATGTGTGACTGCGTCGTGAGAGAACAAGGAGAGAGAGAGAGAGAGAGAGAGAGAGAGAGAGAGAGAGAGAGAGAGAGAGAGAGAGAGCGAAATGTCACGACGGTCAGTCACGACAAATCACGTGGAAAGTAAAAAAAAAGTCGGTATTGTCAGTGTTGGAACGACGCTGTGACATATTTGAATGAAAGAATATATATATGGTTTTGTATCATTAACGCCATAAAGCTGCGAGCATTGAGATGGCTGTACGCACGACTGTTATTTACCGCCTGTAAACAATGTCAGTCATATTTTAATTTAATTTATAGGGATACCTGAATTAAATATATTTATTTCAATGTGCAGTTTTCCACATAAATTTACGTAACCTGGCAGAATTTGTGAAATATTGACATTTTGATTGAAATGTGATTTACGATTAAACGGGTGCCTTTTTATTGTTTTCCTGGTTGGTTAATGAAACCAATTACAAATGAAATAAACGTGTTTCACCAGATGCCTCGTGTTTTCTTTAAATAACTGTACACATCTTCTCATTCCTGCCATATGTAAATTTATGGGGACATATTACACATTGCCGTTCTTTTGCCTGCAAAGATGACTGGAAGGGATTTGAACTCCACTTACCGCTGGCTCTGTCCTTTTCTGTTCCCTCTCTATAAAGTCTAACACTAAGAAAAAATATTGTTTTAAAGATTTTTTTGTGTCTGCAAGTATGAAAGACGGGCTTTTTGCATTTTACCTTGGGAAGGCGATACTGTAGTTTTCTTAGCTAACACGCCCCTTGTTTCCGCGCAATTTTGAATAAACCAGAAACAAAGGCTTCTCTCAACGAGGCCGAGGCGTTTGCTCATGCGTGCACTCTGCAGATTCGTAATTTAAACATCTTGGTTGCAGATGAGCAGCATGTAGCAGCAGCAGGCTGCGAGGATGCAACTCGTTGCTGATATGATGAACATGGCCCGCAGCAAGAAAGCAGGCACCGTGGACAGCTCCCACCCGCGCTCATGCACGCACACGGGCAATATCCTGCAACGGATTATACATTTTACCAAAGCGTATTTTTTAAAATATATTTTGTTTTGTGTATTTAGTATACGCTTCAATATGGAAAAATAATTGGGGCTCTTTTTTATTCTACGACATGCGTTTGTGGGATGGATTGCAGTGTGAGGGTAACACTTGGGCACCTCCGCTCCATAATCTGCTGTGACAAGGCTGGGCAAAACTGTCATCATTTTTCCTCAAGCTTGCTTGTGCAAAAAAAAAAAAAAAAAATCGGGGTCAGGGGGAATACGAAGGCATTCATTTTGTGCACGTGCGTTTTCAAGCCAAGGAGGATCTTGCTGTGAGTTTGACCTGATACATAATCATAATAATTATTATAATAATAAAACATTAACAGCATTATTAAAAAATATTCAAAAATAAAAATAGCCACACGGAGGAGGACGTGACTAATTGTAGAAAGCAGCCAGAGGATAAGAGAAAGTTGTGCATATTTTCATGCTTGGCTTGCATGCTTTGGCTTCTGTGCATAGCCCAGCTGCTATTTGTGGTCATGCTCACACAGAGTTGATTTGTTAGTGTGTCACCCACGTCTGGGGCTACGTGCATGCGTGAGTGTGTGCGTGTGAGCATGTGAGCGTGAGTCCGTGTGCACGCGCGCGTGTGTCTGTGTGTACACGTGTGTGTGTGTGTGTGTGTGTGTGTGTGTGTGTGTGTGTGTGTGTGTGTGTGTGTGTGTGTGCGCTGAGGAGATATAGGGAGAGTCCTCCAGACATCTCTCCCCTCCCCCCTTCCTTCACCATCACATCATGCACAAACTGGATCGCCTGCAAATGTGACATGTACACGCGCAATGTCAAAATAATTAAATATGAGCACAGATTATTTCGGGAATTGAAAAGCAATAATAGTAAATACATGCACAATTAACCATTAATCGTATATACTGCATGATTTCAACAATTTTTTTGTATCATTTAGAAATTAAACAATACATTCTTGGGTACTTCTTCAACATGAAGATTTTTTTTAATCTGTTCCAGATTTACTTTGATGATTTTCTTTTCTTTCAAAAAAGTATTTTTAAATTGGTTACCAAGGCGACTGATTTACCCTCTGTCGCTACAAAAAGGATTAATTCTACCCCGTATGAGCGTGCTCACACGCGCGCCTGTGTGGAGGCCTGATACGGAGGGGTTTAGTTGCGACTCAACACTGCTGACTGGGAGCAATAATCTCTGATAGTTGCCATGGTCACAGTAATTGGACAAGCGTGCGTGGGTGCTCGCGCGCGTGTGTGTGTGCGTGTGCGTGTGCGTGTCTGTCTGTGTGTGTGTGTGTGTGTGTGTGTGTGTGTGTGTGTGTGTGTGTGTGTGTGTGTGTGTTGATATTTCATAGAAACGTAATTCTCTCATCACGCTTTCCCTGTCTCTGAATGCTTGATCTGCTTATTAAAAAATCTATCTTTAAGTGAAATTAACAAAAATAGATATGAGTAAAATAATATTGAATTAACTTCTCAAGTACAACTAAATTTACGTATAACAGCTCTTCTTTTGTTTAAATAATTCGTTAAAAAGATTATAGAGATTTTTGACAGTGGAATGTTCCATTTACGGAACCTAATATTTGTGAGCGTGGTTATGACTACACATACATTCTGATACATGTAAATGCATGAATAGTGACAGGTGCACAAACACATGAATCACCCTTTGGCCCCAAAAAAGGAAGTATAGAGCTCGAAGAGCTACAGCGTGAAGAAAGCTGGAGTGACAGACTCTCTTGTGGAGGGGGTCTCAGAATGAGTGTGTGGTTTTGATTGTCATGGAGCGATAGCAATTTGTGTGCGTGTGTGTGAGAGTGTGTGTGCTGCGCGCGCTCGTGCGCGTGTCAGTGTGCGTGATGCGTGGGTATGTGTGCTCACAGACATGACAGGGTGTGGAGGAAAGTCACAGAGGTTGAAGGGGAGGTGGTGGTGGTGGATCTGCAGTGTGGCTCTGAAATATCAAAAGTGCCCTGAGTCAAACCTTCAAGTCTGTCCACCAAATTGAACCAAATATGGCATTATGCAGTTCACTTCAAAAACGCTTTGTTGTTCAAATCGTTATGAATTTAACATCCACAGATTACGTTGATCCATCTATATATTTTCTGTGTCATTTGATCTCATCCACACAGAAAGACTCGAGCTGAAACCCCGAATCACAGACTGTGAGGCGAATGAGCGAACCGCCTCATTTACACCATAAGAAAATTAAACATCAACTTCACATTTAAGGGCGAGTGAATTGAAACATCAACATCATTTTAGCCTATTAAGTGATTGTCACCTTTGGTGAGAATAACGCACGCGTGGATCGAATGAGTCCTTTTTCTAGACATTCTTTGTAAAATAGGAGTGTCATGTTGGAGATTTACGTCAGCGTTGTGCCGTGACCTTAGTTAAAAAAAAACTGGAGTCGACATTGCTGTCCTTTCCGAAAAGGAAGCACTTTTTCATCTCTCCTTGTTTCAATGACGTTTTCCATAAAGATTAAGGGAAGGTAGTGTAATAAAAATTAGGAGTTGACTTTCCACCATGTTCCTGGTGTGTGTGTGTGTGTGTGTGTGTGTGTGTGTGTGTGTGTGTGTGTGTGTGTGTGTGTGTGTGTGTGTGTGTGTGTGTGTGTGTATACGTGTGTGCGTCACATTCACCATGTTTGTGGATTGTATGACAGCACACCCAGCCTTTTTTTTGTGAATCGAGTGCAAAATGTTCACGTTTGTGCAGCTCTCCTTCCTCCCTCTGCTACCCCGCACGCCTCGTTGAAGACTAACTGTCCCTTTGTCCCTCAACAAAATGGAGGCATTACAATCGCGCCAAGCAGCATGGACTTTATATCAGATCATCAAGGGGTCTATCCTGGGTGTGTGTTTGTGCGTGTGTGTGTGTGTGAGTGTGTGTGTGTGTGTGTGTGTGTGTGCGTGTGTGTGTGTGTGTGTGTGTGCGTAAGGGCATGCACAGTAAAAGTATGCATTGAGGGAAAGTAAGCATGTTCTGTGTCCGTAAGCGAGTATGTCAATGTGTTTGTATGTGTCTGTGTGAGTTTGAGAGGGTGAGTTGACCCAGATCTGCTTATTAGCATCAAGGAGGAGGGGTGAGGGTACAGCAGTCACTTAGAGCTTTGTGCCTGAGCAGTGAACTGTGCTCATGTTTTGGTGACACACTATCATACAGTATTCCTTCTCCACACACACACACACACACACACACACACACACACACACACACACACACACACACACACACACACACACACACACACACACACACACACACAAAGACACTTTTCCTGCCTTCATCATCTTTAATCTCGTACCTCAAATGACAGCGATGTCCAGGAAAATAAATGTGAACTACAATACTGTTTTCTGTGTTCCTGATTTCTTGTCATTCATACTAAAAAGCCTGAAGGTGAACTGATATTACGAACAAATGCACGACACATCACTGTGGAGTGTAATGCAATGCATTTCAATGTGTGCATCTTTGGAAAATCTCGTTATTTTACTGAATTAAGAATAGTGAAAGGGCTGCAGAGTCGACAATTGATTAAAACGTCTGCCATTCTGTTGTGAAGCTGTGTGGCATTTGCATGTTCTCTCCGTGCATGTCGTGGCGGTCCTATCTTGAATGACGCACTGTGCCAGACCCCCCTTTGGTATCCTTAAGATGACGTTTGAAGAGGCAGAAGGCCCCCAGCCCCGGGCTCCTGTGTGGAGTTTGCTTCTTAGTATGGTGTTAAAATAAAATGCCAATCCCAGTTTCAGGTTTTAACTGTTTCTTTCCACCATGTGTATAGAAATGGCAAATGAGAATTACATTATGCAAAGCAAGTTTTGGACTTTAATTTATTCCGTTGTTGGATTTTTTTTTAAAATCCTGAAACTGGTTTCCCTTACCATTAGCTTGCATCAACATAAACAACAAAAATAAAACATTTCATCGTAACATAGTAAGTCATGTCAAAGTCGCCATGAAAGTAAATACTAAAGTAAAGAACAAATATGTGAAAAATCGACTTGAGTACACAAAAGAAATGTTTGTACGTTGTTTTGCACCATCTCTGTGTTTTAATAGATATCATTCAGGCAAGCGTTGTCAATTAAGATGGAATGTTTAACTTGCATTTGCAGTTCCACTCGGATTTATTTTGCTGTAACACACTTCCAAAATGGCCACACAGCAACAGCCGGTATGCCAAATTTTCTCATTTCGGGACTGTAAAAGTTCTCCCGATCCGATTTTAGACCCATTGGTGACCTCATGTGGGACAGCGACCCCGATCGTGATCGACAACGGCTCCTTCCAGACCAGGGCCGACTGGGCGACGGTGGACTTGGACTCTCCGCGGCTGCTCTTTCGGTCAGTGGCGGCGCGCAGCAGAGGAGCTGCCCGCAGCGAGACCCAGATCGGGAACGACATTCCCAACCTGGAGCCTCTACGGTGGCTGCTCAAGAGTCAGTTCGACCGGAATGTCGTGGTCAATTTCGAAATCCAGGAGTTGATTTTCGACCATGTGTTTACTCACCTGGGCATCACCTCCGAGGTTAGTGCCATGAGCACTTTGGCTGTCGTTCTAGTCAGTGGGTTCACTTCTTGCTACTGTTTTTGGGGAAATATTGAGTTGAAATTTGCAATTACGTTCCACACATTAAACTCCATATATATGCAATGCACGAACACATAACTGTCCACAAACTACTATACTCACAAAAAATTGAAGGAAAAAATGATTTTGACATTCCTGTTGCCAATTCAGTTGTCAGATGTCGTAACGTGGTATTGACAAAGCCTCGGTTAAACCTTTTTTATGCTGTCCTGTTTTGTGTTCAAGTTATCCAGTTTGGTTGACATTTTTCTCAGCCTTATTTTTATATATTTTTTAAATTTCATTTCTCTATTATTTATTTATTGACCATAAGTTTTTATTCACACAACAATTTACTGTCAATATGATTTTACTACTGTGTTAGCATACATTACTGATTGACTACATTATGTTCTGACCTGATTACAAATGACAGTGTTTAATTTCTTTATTTCCTGTTTCCTCATAATCTGAGCTGTCCTGTCCTCCTGCCCCACGTGTTTTAGGGCCGTGTGGAGCATCCCATTGTGCTGACTGAGGCACCCTGCAACCCTCTGCACTGCCGCCAGATGATGTCGGAATTGCTATTCGAGTGCTATGGCGTCCCTCATGTCTCCTACGGAGTGGACGCTTTGTACAGTTTCCATCACACCAACAATCAGAAGAACCTGCGGCCACCACAGACTGGGATCATTTTGTCCTCTGGGTACCACTGCTCGCACATCTTGCCTGTTCTCAATGGCAGGTGAGGCTCTGCTCTCATCACCCTCTTCTGTTTGTTGTCGAATTACCTTCAAACACGATTCATTTTAAAATGTGTTTGTTTTTAATTCTTTAGAAATATTTTTCAGAGAAATATTCCCAGTTTTTATTGACACACGTAAACAGCTGTTAACAATATGTATTATTATTGTGGTTGTATAGTTAATTCTCTCAATTTGAATATCCCTGAGACAATTTGAAATTTGGCCACATTTTTCAAAGGTAATATAGGCAGATTACCGATCAGCAAGTTAAAAAAAGAATACGATAAAAGGTAATTGATCCGATCAGAGGGCGCACCAATCTATCTGATCTATAAACAACTGACTTATTTACTGTACAGTCAAATCTCACCATTCGCAGGGGATTGGGACCACGAATACCCAAAATAAATGTAGAATTAATGGCCATTGAAATGGGTAAAATTTCTCCCTCAAACATTGATAAACATTTAATTCACAGATTTTGCATAACATATAAACAATCGGCCCGTTCAATCCAGCCCATCAGCTCTGTGTAAAGTCTACATTTTGTCATGCTTTTATTGTTTTGTTTTTTTTTTCCCAGATTTTTCAAATGCTTTTTACGACTGTGTGAAACAGGAATGTTCAAGTTACTCAAGACATGATCTGTGCATGTGAAGTGCTCATGGCAGCTTCAACCTGGAACAGATTAGTTTTTTTAATCTCAATTGAATTTCCATGGGAAAACGTTTCAAAATCCTAGCAAATCAAAAGATGACCACCATCCAACCTTTGCCGTTCCAATGCGGTTTGCAGTTTGAACTGCTGTCCCTAATATTTTGAGATCATGCATTGTGGTACAGTACATTGATTTTCAGGTCTTGGGATGATGCAGTATCGTACAGCTCTGCAAACTACCGGCACAATCCCAAATAAAATGTTGAAGTCACGCCTCTTTGATAGTGTCACTCAAAACAGAGTAAAAGCTGATTTGTTGTATTTTTCCCGAGAGCTTTTTATCAGAAGCTCATCAGATTAGCATTAATTGTTCTAATGCCGCTCTTATTTTGACACGGCCTCCCCTCTAGATTGGATGCGGTGAACTCTAAGCGTGTGAATGTGGCGGGAGGCCAGGCAGCAGCCTACCTGCAGAGGCTCCTGCAGCTCAAATATCCCGGTCACTTGGCTGCCATCACTCTCAGCCGCATGGAAGAGCTGCTGCATGAACACAGCTACACTGCTGTGGATTACCAAGAAGGTGCTGTGGGAGGCAGCGTATTCATGAGTAGAGAGTGAATTTCCAGTGTTGATACACCCTCATTTTTCTGTCACGCCATCAAAAGCTAAATGACGATCTATTGTTTCCATTGTCTTGCACTCATCTCCAGAGTTGGAAAAGTGGCGCAGCCCGGAATTTTACGAGCGCGAAGTTCACCGAATGCAACTTCCCTTCTCGGGCAAGTTGCCTGGAGGCTGTGTGAGCGTGGAAGAGAGGCAAGAGAGGAGAGCGCAGCAGCTCAGGCGGCTTCAGGAGAGCAACGCTCGACGTCGTGGTGAGAAACTCCATCAGGATCAGGAGAGGCTGGACAGACTGATGGCCGTACAGGTAAGAAACGTGCTGTCGGTCTACACGCTCAACTAGTCGTCCATTTTTGGTAGCACTTGTTTTCATTGTGTGCGCGTGTGTGTGCAGGAGCTGCTGGAGGATGGCTTCTTGGATCAATTCCACAAGAGCCTGGTCGAGCTCAACATGGACTCGGCTGAGGAGCTGCAGTCATACATCAGCAAACTGCAGCTGGCCGTGGAGCAGGGCCGCCAGAAACTGTTGCACAGCGACGGCGCCGAGGGAAAGACAGAAGTGAGGCGGACGGAGACGTTCCTGAAGTTTTCAAAACGCACTGTAGAGCTCAGGTCGACTTGACGCCTTGCTCGCTCTTCCCACCAGGTGTCCGAGTTGGAGCAGCAAATGGAGGAGGGCGACGGCATGGTGATGATGTATCCTGACTTTTCTGAGGACACGTTGACAGAAAAACCTAACATGAATGTGGTCCAGGTAGGGTGGGACTTTCTAGATTCTGGAAAAAAAACGTGTTATTACTTTTGTCTATTATTCCAAATGGGAATTATTTGATAAATGTAGGGGATTCTTTGGAATTCACAGGAAATGTTTACACAAAAGATATACAGGTATAAGATTTGGTTTTGTCAGAAGCTCACAGCCATGCAAACACTTTTTTTTTAGATTTTTAATTTCCTTCTTTCATCGAAAAACAAAGAATTACATTTAATATTTTCGACATTTTTACTTTTATTTATTGGCAAATAAAAATTTAATTGGTTATTGGCACCAATAAACATGAGTGTTAGAGTAAAAACAAAAAAGGTTCTTTAACCTTTAATTTTACTCTCTGCTGCACCCAAGAGGCAGTTAGTGGCATTACCGTTTGATAGTGAATTGTAAATAATTGGTAAGGTTCTGTGAGCTGATTTCATCATTATTAGTTGCTGTACAAGAACAAATAGTGACTGTGCAAAGTCACCGTAGTCAGATTACTTCACTGCGAAAAATAGCACGTTCAATTAGTTGTTACTGTAAAAAATTGAAATATTCATTAACTCATTACTTTCTAAGACATTACTCCCATTTCTCCTTGTGTGTGGAAACGTTTCAAGACGACTTTCGATGACCTGTAAAGATGACTAAATAACGACCTCTCTCCAGCCGGCCTTCAACATGGCAGAATACCACCAACTGTTTGTGGGCACCGAGCGTCTACGCTGTCCAGAGATCCTCTTCCAACCCTCACTGACTGGAGAAGACCAGATGGGGATGATGGAGACGCTTCAGTATGTGTTGGCCAGGTAATGATGTTGTAAATCCTTCACAGGAGGAATAAAGTTTTCAAATCTATTCTATCTAAAATGACACAGTTTTAGAAGGTTGCAATGCAAAAATAAAGAAATAAATAAAATAATGTCACACACACTCAGCTCGTTTGGCAGTTGCATGATTCAAGCATTGTTTGCTTATCTTCTTGTCGATGTTCAGGTATACTCCTGAGCAGCAGGAGGCGCTGGTGAGCAACGTGTTCCTGACCGGAGGAAATATGCAATATCCAGGGATGAAGGAAAGGGTAGAAAGGGAGCTGCTGGCCATAAGACCCTTCCAGTCTCACTTCAAGGTACTTCTCTTTTTTTTTTTTTTTTTTTTACCCTAAATTGATGATGATGCTTGCTTTGTGTGTATACTCTCAGGGTTATTGAGTTTTCACAAAAATGAGTACACATCTTTCTTTTTTTCGAAATTCACAACGGTTCGCTTTCAGACACATTTTACCACGCGATAGTGAAATATTTATTTATTTGGTTGTTAAATTTGACAATGGTCGGGCAGGCTCTTCAGACAAACAAACTGTTTGTGTTGAAATAATTTAAAAAAATATTAAAATGTCGTAATATTTCCTCTTGAATATATACGGTGTATCAAATTAATAGAACGATGCATGTGAAAAAATTGTGACAGTGTCTTTTTGGCTTCTGGGTTTTTTTTTTTTCTTTTTCTGTTAAGGAATAAAGCCAATGTGCAGCTGATACTCTGACTTACTTGCTAATTCAATTTTTCCACCTAAAACAGGTGTTTTCCATATCAAGTAAGGAAAGTACATGTACTGAAAATGCAGATAACTTGATTTACAAATGCCCCATCTGAGGCATTTTTTTTTTCGTGACGAGTTGTTACAGGGGTTTAGACGCTTTGAGACTAAATGGCCACTAGATGGCGGCAGCAAACTTCCCAGAATCCATCTTCCATCAGTTGACATGCTTACCTTGCAGTGAGTTTGTTGTTTAGTGCTCACATTTTCTGTTTCTTTCCTTCTCACCACGGGCCCTCAAAAAGTGAGCGAGAAGATAAACGAGAAGCTGCTATAAATGATGAAAAAGGCACAAAAAAAAAGAAAAGAAAGTAAAATGAAATCAAGCAATTGAAGAAAATGTATTTCTTGACTTTCTATTTTATGAAATTATTACTGTCTGTCAATACAGTACTGTGTGCCACCATTTTGTGTAGGAAGTACAAATTTAGAGTAATATTCAATTCCTCATGGTTATGCTAGTCAAAAATGTCTGACTTCCTACTTTACACATATTGGTGGCCAAATGATGTGCTTTCTCAATGACGGGGCTCTTTCCCCCCAGGTCACCTTGGCGATGCAGCCGACTTTGGGCGCATGGCTAGGGGCAAGAGACTGGGCCCTGGAGCACCCTCCCGGTTGCGGTGGAGGACGAGTGGCGGGATGGATCAGTCGGCAGGACTACGAGGAGAAGGGAGGCGAGTACCTCAGTGAGCACTGCGCCTCCAACGTCTTCGTCCCCATCAAGATCAACAAGACGCTTCCCGCTCGGCAGGCCGAGCCCTCTGTTACCTTGCCGACGGAAGCTTCCGGACCGGTCAGAATGGTTACGTCCTCTCCGACTTCCTCTTCTTTGACTTCAGATGTTCCCATGGTTTCATGCTAAAGTGACATTGGTAACTGGGACTGCTTATGCATTTGTGCGCGGGATCACACAAAAGCTGCATTGTTCTTGACAGGGCAAGAAATTAAAAATGGCCACCACATGCGTCACCGTATGTCAGCTATTCAGCAAAGAAAATTAAATCGTGGCAGTGTCAATATTTGTAATGTTAGCCCTGCTATTCACAGGAGACTGAGACCAAGCTCGGCTGCTAATAGCAAACGTCTGTGAGTAATTTACACCCCCCCCCCCCCCCCCAATAAAGTCAATAATTGCTTATCAATGCCACAAAACGATGGCGAAGCTTTTTTTTCTTCTGTGTATATGTGGTGGTTTACTGGATATCAAGAGGGTGGAGTTAAAAACTAAATGTTTGGAGAAGTGCAGGAGACAGACTGGTGAGAACCAATAAGTCGCATAGAGTCTACACTACATGTTGTAAAACACATGTCTACACATAACCTAAACTCATGTTTAACCATGTGCAGGAAACATTGACTATTTACAACATCTGATAAGTCTCAATCCATAATGAATCTGGTATACTCCATCCTAATTCTGATGGGCTCATCAGTTAACCCTTTTGTGACCAATAGCACGAAGTGAAATCACTCCAGTTAAACCTCTTTTTTTTCTTTCATCCTTGAAGATGGGGGCTTCAATTTGAGGAAGGTGTTTATCTTTCGGTCATGGATGACACACCCAGCAATTAATAAGGGCGGGCGATTCATTTTATGACGTTACAGTGCAATGAAAAGTATCCTATCTTGGTATGCTATTATTATAAATCTACAGGTCACGATTACACATCGGTTTCGTGTAAAGAGTTAACTGAGTGTGTGTGTGCGCGTGCATTATTGTGGGGTATTTATTGCAGGTGTATTTGCTTGACACAGCCAGTGCATGTTGTCAACTCGGCAGACATCTGCAGTCTAATAGTGTTAAGGAGTGTGAAACTGCCACCGTTCAAGCTTCAAACCCTCTGCCAGCCTGTAACTGTTTCTCCTCAAACCACACACACGCACACGTGCACTCGCACGCGCACACTCAGCAGGGGCACAGGGAGGCTAATCGTAGCCAAACCAGTCTTGTGAGTTGTGACTGCAGGATGTTTGGCACAAATTTAACAAGGTTGATTAAAAATAGAAAAACAAAGCAATATTTATGTGCAAGTATTTATTTCTGTGCCTACAAACCTTCATGGCATGATCATTTGTCACAGAAAACCGCTGGTGCAAGTTGATGACATTGCAAAATTGTACTTTTGTTTTTTTTCCTCCCTCAGATGGAGTGTTAGTTTGGACTCCCTTTTGTATTATAATTCCCCTTTAGCCCCCCGCCTCTTTTAAATTTTTTTTTTTTTTTTTTAAGTCTGATGAACTGCTGTGACTAATACGTGTCAGCATTACAAGGTCTTCAGCGCAAGGCTTTCTGCTACATCATGCAGGTTGTGTTTATTTTTAAACGGGGATCTCTTTATGTCACTTAGGAGGATTAATGGTGAGCTGCGGTCACATCAGGCACTCTTTAGGAAAACAGAACAAGAGTTCAACAACAGGAACGCTGGCAAACATTCACAACAACTAGTAGCACTAGACATAGACTACCTGGTTGCTGACCGCAATGATGCAAGCACAACGAGACAGCGGTGTCTGTTCATGTACACAAAACAATTTCTACATTGACAACTACTGTAAATCCAATGTAACTGTATAACCATGCATGCAGACTCTCCAATATTCTTTTGTATTTAAAGGGGAAGTCAGCCCAAAACAATACTTTACAATAATTTGTTCTACGTGCCCCCACTAGTCTAAACCCGATGTTTTGATTAACATTGTGTTTGTGGAATAGGAATTGAGCAGCAAAATTCACCCATTTTTATCCATCTCCGGGGGGGCTGCCATTTTGCCACTTGCTGTTGACTGAAAATGACATCAGTTAACCATGGCTCGGTTAACGACCAATCACAGCTCAGCTTGCAAATGTCACACGGCCAAACTCAGAAAACAGGTGAGCCGTGATTGTTCGTGACTGAGCAACTGCGATGTCATTTTCAGTTAGCTGACCGGGAGCCAGATCAGAAAGATCAAAAAGACGCGTGGAGCTCAGGAGCAAGGTGTCATGGTTTTCATCTCTTTCTGCTGGAGTGGAGGGCGTTCCCTCCAGCGGTGCACCCTTCGCGAATCATCAGTGGACCAATTAAGGACTGACACTTGGTCACTTGCTGTCTGATTATTTGCCTTGCTCACGACTCATACCAAGTACAATTCTCGCGACGCTCACGATCTTGTTTCTCCGTTCTTGTTCTTGTTGTATTAGAATTGAAGTTACTATTGAATTGAAGCTAGCTCTTTTATAATTGGGCTAATCCCCCCCCCCCTCCAATTTAAGACAATTTTTGTGAACTTTTCTTTCCGTTACCGTTACTATAGGACCATTTATTATTGACCAAGATAGCAAGAAAAGATATTTGAATTGTAATTCATATCTTTATTGCTATATGCATTAAGGGACCAGAAAAGAAGGCATTTTATTCCTTGTATATATATATATATTTAATTAATTGGCCGATTAATCGGTTAGCCAATTTTATCTTCCAAACATCGGAATATGGAGAAAAACAAGCATATCAGTTGGGCCCTCGATCAATTATTTTGTTTTTTATTTGAAGGGTGTGCTCCCTTCTTTGTTTGTGGATGGACAGGCTTATGTTCACATGAAGCGTGAAAAGACGGATGGCTATTTCTGTTTGTTCTTGCAGCAACTCCGATTGACAGTGTTCCAAAAACATCGCAACAAACACAATACATTGTTTTCTTTCTGATTAGTCCTAATTAGATGCGTAAGATGTTGGGTGCACTCCTGAATTGTTTTGGATTACCTTAGTAATGAAGACCACTTCAAATAATTTGACCTTGATTGGAATACTTTGGTAGAATCACTTGTGGAGGTTACGAGCACTTAACTGTGAGTGTGATTTCATGTGTGTGTGCGTGTGTGTTGATTATTTGATTACTGTTGTAGTGGAGAAAATAAATGCTATGTCAGTATATCTTCAATATCTTTGTTCTTTTGAGTACCGAGTGAAGCTCTTTTCCAGTTTTGTATAAGTTGTTTGATTTTTATTTGACATTTTTAAGCTGCTGGAGCTTCATTCCTGCCTCCCTTTTTATTTGTTTTTTCAGCTCTCTGTTCAGTTGCAGTTCTCGTGAGACTTCACATCTTCCTGTGCTGTCTCTGTAACTGATACGTTGTGAGTGAGAGGGTCTACGTCGGCACCGTTGTTGGTGCACTTTCCCATTTCCTCCAGTTTGCTCCCAAAGGGCCCTGAAGTCAATGAAGCAAGGGCGCAAAGATTTTTGACTCGCTACAGGAGCTTCCGCGACTACACAGCATCCACATTCGATAAGAATTCAAATCAAATAATATTTGTGAACAAGAGTTATGAAAACTTTGAACAGAAAAAAAATTAATGGCACCAACGAGAGATCTGAGCCAGCTGTAATCAGATAGAAAAGGACCTGTTTCTCCTCCCACTCCTCCTCCTCCCTCCCCTTACCTCCTTGTTCCGTGCAACAGGTCTAGATGAGACCTAACTAACGGACTAACAGGGACGGAGCAAACGCAAGGAGCTGACTCAAGTCCCCTTTTATTTGAAAGTAGTGCAGTGCAATGATGTTTCGGACAGCAGTAGAGCATGCCAAGAAGCACCCTGGTGTGAGTAATTTCATTCATTTCTGGAAAAAAAAAGTATATATATATATATATATATATATATACTGTATCTCAATGTAATATTTTGCTTTTACACATGCTTGCACAATTTTGACTGTCTCATGTAACCAGTTGGGGTATAGCCAAAATATTTGGCACAGCTCTAATACAATTGTTAGCACTGTACATATGATATATTTTTTTCATTATGATGATGATTAGATGAAGAGGATTATGTTTATTGATAATAGTCATAGTGATGCTAATAATAATAATGATAATCGAGCATTAGTATGTGCCCTTCACAGAGAGAAGATTCATGACATGTTTTCTCGATGTTGTCAATCTCCCTCAGCTAATCCCCCAATTTTTCTTCATCTGCTTGGGAATGGGCGGTGCTAGTCTATACCTGGTCCGACTGGCCAAAGGACCTCATGTCACGTAAGGACCCTGACCTGGTTTACGCAGCATGGCGTCAGTGAATTGTGTAAAAAGAACGTGTTGTTTAGATGAAGAAATGAGAAATAAGCGGCCTACTCCAATTCCTGATTGATGAGTTCATTGATTGGCATGTAGCTCAATTCTTTGAAAGACTGTCAAATTAAAGATGAACATTTGACAGTATCTATGTTTGTTTTAGCTGGGATAAAACCAATAACCCTGAGCCCTGGAATAAACTTGACCCCACATACCAGTACAAGGTAAAAAAAGCAACCACACACACACACTGTATCAAGACAACGCTAACAAACCTGTGAAACTCCTCTTTTCTGCCGTAGTTTGTGACCATCAATACTGACTATAAAAATCTGAAGAAGGACGGACCTGAATTCTGAATTCTTTCCTCCACGCCCAGGCAATCCAAACACTCACATGCACATACTGTAACCACTTCACATTTAATTCCTTTTCAAATGTTTCAGAACTGTTATTTTGTTATTAGAGAAGAAATAAAAATATCTAAAAAAAATCCTCTTTTATTTTACTCACTTTTTATTAAATTTAGCTTTCAGATTTATATATAAAGGGGACATATTATAGAAATAAAATGATTTCTGAATTGCTTGAACAGTATACAAAGAGTTGGGTCTCTGTAGTGCCTATCCACTCAATAAGTGTCAAACTACACAACCGAGTACATCTTTGTGACAGTATGTGACTTCAGTGTTTCTGAAAATATGACCGCGAGCGAGCCATTTTTCAATTCTGCCCTGAGTTGCCGCGGTGATGAAAGCCATACTCGGCATGAGTGTGAGATGGAAGCATGCAACAACATGCTAGGTTGTTTCATGTGTGTATTACAAAACTCACAGATTCATTTGATTAGCAATTTCATGAAAACAGCCGCAGAGTTATTAGTTGAATATTTAAATAGGCTGTCATTGATAGAAGCGACGTACAAACCATCCATTTTCTGTTGCACGCAGTTGTGTGAGCTGCACTCGATCCCAACTGAATTTGACTGGAGTCAATGATTGGTGTCAGATAAGAATCTTTTTCCACGATACGCTATAGGTCCATCTGTTAACTCTGTGTGTGTGTGTGTGTGTGTGTGTGTGTGTGTGTGTGTGTGTGTGTGTGTGTGTGTGCGTGTACATGCGTGTGTGTGCATGCATGTGTGTGTGTGTGTGTGTGTGTGTGTGTGTGTGTGTGTGTGTGTGTGTGTGTGTGTGTGTGTGTGTGTGTGTGTGTGTCTGTGTTTACCACCCAGAGTGGTGTGTGTACAGCACAGCACGCTTGTTATTCAAATTTCTTTTGATCAGAAAAAGAGATGCAGCAGTCCCCCTGCACAGTGCTGTTGATACATTGGAACAACTTGGCACACACACTCACACAGATGCGTGAGGCTGACACAGTCGCAATTACGCTACCATTGTGCCCATCTTCATAAACAGTTTATAATTTAAGCAGTACTTTAATGCCTCCAAATTGAATATTAAAACAGTATGCAATTAATCTGAAATAAAATCATTCACTC